TTTTTTTGAGCAATCAAATTATGTGAGGCAACATTATGTAGAGCCAATCAGAAAGACACCTGGGTATACTAAGGTCAAGGCCAGGTGAAGTTGGTTTTTATCACTGGGAAATATATTGCTCATAGCTATAATTTAGATCCCTGGCTTTCGTAATGAAATTTATCACATTCATAACTTGGTAAATTAAGTCCCCACTTCTTGAAAGAGCAGTTATACACTGCATTTCAAAGTTTTTTGGTTTTATTTTAGTATCAATGATTTGCTTGTGTATCCTAATAATATCCAGCCAGATGGTAAAGGTCTGTGCTTTGCACCTCTTATGGGCAACCAGGTTAACACTTGGCCCAGTAGAGGCAGAATCCTTGGTTGCAAGTAATGAACAAAGTGGACACTGCTCACAGGTGATCATTGATTGTTTGTAGTTTTCATAATTGTTACCTTCTTACCCCATTCAGAAACAACAACAACAACGAAAGTGAACACCAGCTTAGGGAAAAAGAGTAAGCACTAGTTTCGGCATTTGAAGACACAGGTTCTATATCTGATTCTAATACTCACAGTTATGGACATAGGGACAGCCAACCAATCATTCTGGGCTTGTGTTCCTTACCCATCAGAAGGAGGAAGATTAGACTTTAGATTCATTGATGGCCCTTCCAAGTCTGAGAGCCTATAATTCTCTGAGCCAAAAATACATCTCAGCATCACAGTGATAGCTTTCCAAATTAGGTTTACCAAAAATCTATGACCAGACATCTACATCACAATTAATACTGATTTATAGAAGACTCAACAGACTTTCTACTAAGAAAATTTTATCCAGGGCCTTTTTGTTTGTGCTTTCTCTAAATCAACAGAAAAACAAAATTTCCCAGTTTACTCGTGTTTCCATAAATAGTAAGAAATAATTTTGAAAAATCTAGCTAAGATAGTAAGCATTTTTCTATTCAAAAATCCTTTAAAAAGTTCTTAACTATATCCAACTCTGCCCCCCCCAAATGTAAATATGATTCAGGAAAACAGAAATGTTTCTTACAATAGAGTAAGATATCACAAGCATATGGAATAAAAAGCTGACAATTTGATGACTATTATTGATGATGATAATAATCACACATTTGTAATCAAAAACTTCAAAGAAATGTTTCCCTATTAGCTTAAGTCCCATCATTAGAGATCAATTCTAGGAATTGATTTCTATTTTAGGAAAATTCAATGTAGGCCTCAAATATAAGCTACCATAACACCTTAGGATCATAATAAATTTATCTAGTCCTTTAAAAATGACAACTTTCACACATATTATCACAAGTCCATTAGGAACGTACCTTTTCCCCCTAAATTTATAGATGAGAAAATCAAGACAGAGATTAAATGTTCAGAGTCATCTAGGTGTTTAGTTGGTAGGAACGGGATCAGAAACCAGTCTCCTGACACAAGCCCAATCTTCTTTAACATTTCTCCATGGAAACTGAATGCATAGGATGGGATGTGGGGTCTGAGGCTGAGGCATTGGAACACAGACAGACCTGAATTCAAATTCTGATTCTGCTATTTGCTTGCTGTATGAAATGAGGCAATGACTTAAACTCCTTGAGCATTTTTGTTATTTATAAAAATGAAGAAAAAGAATATAATGTAAATAAGGGCAATAGTACATATTAAAGGATTTTGTGTTAACAGTACATGGTAGGGATCTTTTTGTTTTTACTACCTTATGTATTTTAAGTTTTACAAGGAGGTTGCGTACAACAGAAAGGGTAGGGATTGAAAGACAACTTAAAGGTAGGAACGATACTCTTTTCTGAGTCTTCTTTTTCAAGCTCTAACAGTTGCTTTATTTTATTCTATTTCACATTCTTCTATGAATCTGCATGTACTACCCCTGCCATGGATACCCTCCCTGATCCCTTGGTTTTCCAATCAAGGCCTACACAGTTTTTTCAAACTCAAACTCAAACTCAAACTTATCTCCTCTTGAAAACTTTCTTTGATTCCATCGGCTTTTCCTTGGGCATTCATATAAACCTCAAATTCATTTACAAATCTTTACTAAGTAAAGCCTGTGGTGTTAGTAAACTCTGCTAGGGCAGCACCAAAGCACTTCCTAATGCTCTAGTTTTGTTTGTTATAGTTAGTAGTTCCCACACTTTGACATTTTACAGACCTTTTTCTTTTAAAAAATGAGAACTGATACAAGGTTGTGCACATTTCGTTTTCTAAGTAAGGAAATGGTAAAGTAATATCTGCCATTTACTACCACAAAAAATATGACATTTTGATACCAACGCACATAATCTCAGAATTTAAATAAAAAATAATAAATTAGGCTTTATGGGCACTTTCACAAAGAGGGTCTGCATAATCAGGGAATAGGCATTGAGGGATCCACTGGTTTACCTCTATTTTTGTAATAATTTGAGATTTCTTGGAGATGCTGTTTTTTACTCAATTTTGCATTCCTAGTATAGTGCCTACTGTCTGGTAGGAAGTATCCAATAAATATTTATGAACAAGGCAATGAATTTGCCTTTGAGCAAATACCTCTGAGATCCATGGTAGTGTCTCTAGCACAGGCCCTTGTGAGAGGTCAAAGCAATGGGGAGAGTGGAGGAGGGTTATATGTGCATGTGTGTGTATAAACTGATATAATTTACTTCACAAGTTTGCCTGGCACCAGTCATTTGGATGATTCTATGCAGAGTTATTAGTGAGATTGTCCTGCCAAGGAATAAAGGAAGAGATGGGACAAGAACTACAATACCGAGGCATAACACTATAGGAAGAGGTGGACTCTATTCCTATGATGCCATCAGTAAAAACATTCCATGCAGCATGTTAGGTAGGGTAAGAATTGTAACAAGTAGAGTTACTGTAAATAGACAATATTCATTTAATATTCATGATGTGTCAGGCCCTGTTATAAGTTCTTTGCATGCATTAAGTGATTAAATCATTATCACAGTCTGTTGAGAAAAATTTGATTACTATTCCCATTATACAGATGAAGATACAGGCTTTCAGTGGTTGAATAATTTTCTGGCAGTCACATAGTTCAACAGTGGTAGATATGGGTCTCAACTCTGATCTAGTTGCCTTTAGAACTTACCGAAACTCTTGGGATCCTTTAGAGCTACATGTTTCTATGGTGAACGGTTTTATTCAAATTGGTTTTCATTTTCAAAATAAGGAGGAAATTAAAATATTTCTTCCTGGTCAGGATTTTGTAGCTGGCAGGGCACTCAGTTTTTCTACCTAAAAGCTGTGTGACTATATAAGGAAGTTCTTTAACATCTTTAAACTACAACTTCTACATCTATAAAATGAGGGTGAAAGACCTTCTTTCTGTGTTTTGGGGAGAATTAAATGAGTAGCATATGTAAAACAGCTAGCAAAGGGCCTGGATTATGAAGGGGATTTAATCAATTTTAATTCCGTATGGGGCCTCGCAAGATAAAACGACATTTTCAAATTAAAATCATATCAAATATTAGTGATAGAATGAAAGCAAATAGATCATTGCTCTGGTGAATAAAGGTGCCTATATTTACACAATTCTTTAGAGAGCTATGAGGATTATCTTTGCTGCAGCCCTCATTTTAATTAAGAGCACAGAGATTAGATGTTTCAGCATAGGAAGAAGTTTATATTTGATTTATACCACAGATGCACATTTGCATCATCTAAACATTCCATTCCTTGGCTAAAGATGTAACAAGCTACTTCAGCAAACCTGAAATTGCAAAATAAATGGAAAATGCTTAATCATTTAAAAAGAAATAGCAAAGGAATGAAAAAATCCAAGCATGCACGGGTACCGGTGAGGAAAGTTAAGCAGCAGGAAGTCTCTATTTTTTTAAAGGCTGATAAATGGCTTCATTAGACAGGCAGGATATTAAACCAAAAGGGTCCGTCTCTGTCATTTTTATACACAAATACTTTCAGAAAAAAAGTGTGTACATATTTATATGTAATCTCATTTTGGATAAAAGTATTATTCAGTGAGAAAAGCAAGTTGCAGAGCAATTTCTAAAATACGAATTTACTTTATAAAAACAATGTCAAGCCCCATCTATATCTGACTCTGAATTTGTGTAGGTTTTTATGAATGTGCAGAAGGTATGAAAGGTTCAGGCCAGGATGTTACATTGGGAACCTCAAGATGGTTGCTGTGGCAGGAATTTGGGAGAGTTTTTTTCTTGAACATTTTTGCATTACTTTACCAAATGCAATGAGCATATATTACTTTGGAATAAAAACATTTAAAGATAAAAAAATGTACATTTATTACTATTTACCCACTTATTAATTTGGTGACCTATTAATTATCTAATATTTATTGAATACTTAAAGACGACAATTAAATCAACCAAGTTGGTCTACTCTGTGAACTGTCACACCCAACTTTTTCAGAGGCATGCTGCCTAAACTTAGTTTTATCCCATGGCATTAGCAATGCCTAACAGCATTGCTGATAGCTCTGAGAGCTCTTATGCTTTAGGGACTTGCAGGTGACTTTGCTCCTTTTCTTTCTATGTGTGGCTATTGCACTAAAGGAAAGGTTGACCCTCTTTCCAATTCCACTGAAATGTGAGTATCCAGTGGCATCAAAAACATGGAATTTAGAGTTAAAAGACCAAGTTTCCTTTTTTTTTTTTTGAACTGCAACAACACCTTTTCTCAAGTAACAATACTTATCTTACAAAATGGCTGTCAAGCTGAAATGACATCATGTGTGAGAATGTTAATAAATTGCAAAGTGATGAATAAGTGTATATAACTAATTCTTACAAAGAACTTGTAGTTTTGATTCCTATTGGAGGACAATGTCAAATGTTTACAAGAATTTGCACATTTCCACTGGAGACAAGTCTATAATACGGTTGAATAGTGCTCAGAAAATTTACTTAGCCCCCAAAGCTATGGCTGACATGTTAGGCAAATGCAGTTTTCTTTCTGGTAATGATCACAAACCCAATTAACCAATAAGCATATCTGACCTGGTGTAATCATCTTCAACAAGCATGTGCTTTGGAATCGGTGAGTACCTTCCTGGAGAGATGGGCGGCAGGGAAGTTTTATATTCTAAAGTTCCATTGTTGCCAGAAAGTAGATGGTTTTCCATCGGTGGAGAATAAGCTAAGGGGTGAAAAAAAATAAAAGAGAAAAAACCTGTTATGTGGGTGATTCAATGTGTCATGCTACAGTTCTGCTAAAAATAGGAAAATTTTGCTACATGCAGAGGATTTTCTTGTCTCCCAAGAGGGAGGAGTTACTGTTTGTTTGCATTTAATATGCACAAGCCCATGGTGACCTTTAAGACTGGAAAGATGTAATAACATTCATTTCTATAAACCCAGTTCATATAATTTTAGGTGAAGAGAAGAATTGGAGGAGAGAGCCAGAACACACATTTTCATAAGGATGATTAATTTTCTATTGAAATAAAAATGTTAGCTTTCTAATTGCAGAGCATTCTTTTCACATAATTAATATCCAATCATCAAATCTAGAAGGCTCCTCGGAGGAAGTTCTTGCATAAGACCTTAATTCTCAGATATGCTGTGCTCCCTTCCCAGAAAAGCCAAGAACTCTGGCCTTTATTTTCTATTCCTCCACAGTAATTCATTTCCCTTCTGAATGACTGAAAACGCCTTCTGGATGGGTCTTTTGCCTCCCATTCCTCTCTAGAAATCCATTTTATACATTTAGAAACACAGCTCTGATAATGTTTAAGTACTCTCCATTGCCACTATTGTATTAAATATAAATGCTTGCTTTTGTCAGTCTTACAAGATTGATCCATTTTAATATCCCACTTACACATATCCTACAGTTCTCAAACAAAGGCTAGTTTTTACAACATATGTACTTTTATCAGTAATCCACAATTTCTGTCTCCTAACACATCTCTGATTTTGAAATTTAATCCATTCTTTAAGATACAATTTAAATGCCACCCTTTGCATAAAGCATTTTATGATCCTTCCAAAGACAGGTGATATCCTCTTCCTTTGAGGACCCAAAGTCCTTTATTTTTAACATTCATATGGCATGTACATCCCTCTTATATTGCCAAATATTTCTACTCTTCATATGTTTGAATTAGCCATCCTTCCAATGAAGGCCATGATTGCATCTCCTTTGTATCCCACATATTACATTGCAAGGTGTCTTACACTATTAAAGTTACTCAATATATTTATTTTTTTAAATTGAATAGCAAAGTTTTGTTTTATCGCTTTCACCTCTTTTACATTGACCTTACATTCCCTTCATGAAGCAGCTCAAAGTCTCAAGGCTGAGTTTTCTAAATTCATCCAGTTTGAAAACCTTTGAAAGTTAAAATTCTTTCATATCCTAAGGTAAGGCTGATCTCAGTTTACTGCATGCTTGAGAAAAAGACATATTTGGGGGGTAAGTCATTTTTGAATCATCGTTAAGAAAAGCAACAGCTAACATAATGGGCAGGTAACAAAATTATTCAGCCTTTAAATTTCTCTCAAGAGAAACATATAAATCTAAGAGAGGTTAAATGAGTTGCTAAGACCATAGTACTAATTAATGCCAGGTCCTGAAGATATTCTGTGTTTCCAAATCTCACGACTGGTTTCTCAACATTCCAGAATGAGCAAGCTTACTGATGTTGATAAAACCGTTTCTTAGACTCACATCAAAAAAATAAATTGCTTCTAAATCTAGTCTCCAAAGACAGCACCTTAGATAAGGTTCTAACTGACTTTTAAGAAGTGAAGAAAACTTGGGGCTTATGTAGCAGTGGACTTTATTAGGATTCAACACAGCATCTCATAGTGAGTTGTTGCCCTAGAAAACCCCACCCACAATCCATCTCTACTGCCAGAGTGACTAAGAGTTTTCCCTGGCTTCCCTGCCAATGTAATATATTCAGGTAAAGGTAAGAGCCATGATGATGTTGACAGAGGGTCATAATTCCACCATTCAAGTGCAAGATCCTCTCCCCAGGAAGGAGCACAGTGCTATCTTGTGTCTATTTTGCCAGTCTCTCTTTCCTGCTTTGCTACTTTATAGATTTCAACTAGGAAGGGGGAATGCTATGGCCTGAGAGCTATCATGCTTTAGGGCCTTGAGAAATAACCTTTAAAAATGTGTTGTTACTATTGTTATCACACTATCCACCACATATACCATAAGCCTTTCTTAAATGGTGGGCTTCCTAACCCACTAGGGAGTCCTACCTTCAAAACACTAGTTAAGGCCTTGTAAGGCAACCCAGGGAGTAAAACACAGCATCCCTCAGAACTATTTCCACAAGCTAAACAAGAGTGAAGATGCAAGCAGAGGAATTTGCCAAGTTTTGCAGAATTTTAATTCTATAAACTTGGCAAAAGTGACAGTGAGTGTGGTGCTTACAGTGAGTAATGTCAGGTGGACCATAAGGATCAGTCATATAAATGGTGGTGGGTTTGCCAACTTTTAGATAAACGACATCAGATGTGTTCTTCAATATTGCTACCGCCTCTTCATGAGTCACTTCTTCTAAACTGTAGTTGTTCACCTGAAAGGAAAATAATATTCAATAGTAGAGTCAAACCTATGCAGGTGAAAAGAAATAGTTAGGCAAAAAGATACGTAGAGTTATGACCTTATTTGAAGATTAAATTGCAATCATTATAAGACAGTATCTACATTAAACTTTGATAGAAAAGATGGATTAGTGGCATTAGCCAAAGCAGATAAGGTACAATTGTTGATGTCAAAAAAAAAACGAAGTTGCTTCTGTCTTTTTCTATGAGAAAGGAATGTATCATAATGGAAATAAGAATACTATATATAGAGAAAAGAAAAGAGGAGTCAAATGTCTCTCTTCTTATGCTATAGTTTTTCCAATTACAAAAGTAATACATACTTATTGAACTAAAAAAAAAAGTAACAATTAACCAAAGTCTCCTTATTTGGGGTATGTTTTTTTAAATAATTGTGACCATATTGTACATATTGTTTTGGAACCTGCTTTTTAAATATAGACTGACCATTGGTCCATATTATAGATGTACTTCCACAACATGCCTTTGTTTCTATACAGCATTGTGTTGTATAGCGGTAACATAATGCTTTAACCAATCTTACTAAAACATGTTCAGTTTGCTTCTAATCTTTTTCTACTATAAATAATGTTGCAGTAAAACTTTTTTTTCTATTTTTGTGCACAACATTGATGATTTATTCAGGATAAATCATACAAGTGGAATTGTTGGACCAAACTGTAATATTCATATAGTTTCATTACATTATATAATATTATATTAACATAACATTCATTACAGTGGATCTCTGCAGCACTTCTCTTAAATGGTGTAAAAATATTTATGAAATATTTTAAATACCTAGTATTTAAATATCTTATTTGGCTACTATTTTTTAATCAGGAGATTAGTTAATTTCTGCTGAAATGATGCAGATTAAACTAAAAATGCCAAAGAACATTAGATTGGATCCCTTACATATTCTCTGTACTATTTAATTAGCATGTTAGTCATAGAATGCCTTACAATATTGCATTTGTTTTCTTTTTGCCTTATGTTGTCATATAAATTCAATGTGCCAATTCTTTTTTTTTTTTTTTAATTTAAATCCAAGGTAGTTAACATGTAGTGTAATAACGATTTCGGGAATACAATTTAGTGATTCATCATTTACATATAACACTCAGTGCTCATCCCAACAAGGGTTGTCCTTAATGCCCCTTCCCCATTTAGCCAATCCCTCCAACCAACACCCCTCCAGCAACCTTCAGTTTGTTCTCTATATTTAAGAGTCTTTTATGGTTTATCTCCCTCTCTGTTTTTATATTATTTTCACTTCCCTTCCCTTGTTTCATCTGTTTTGTATCTTAAATTCCTCATATGAGTAAAATCATATGACATTTGTCTTTCTCTGACTGGTTATATCACTTAGCCTCTAGTTCTATCCATGTTGTTGTAAATTCTATATGCCAATAAATTCTTGATGGTGTAGCCCATCAGGGACCCCAGGACTGGAGGGAACTGAACTTGATTGATGTGTATGAATACTAACCATGAATTCTCCATTAAGCTATAAGCTTTTTCACTGGTTCCTATAGTTCTCTTCTCGACAAATGACATTCTCTTCAATCCTTTTGTATTTCTACTTGTCTATCCCTTTTTCATCCATTGGTCAAATGCATACCTATAATATGTCAATCATGGTTCTACACATTAGAGATGTAGTAATGAATATTAAGAATGAAAATCCTAATCATAGCACTTATATACTCTGTATTAAACATGAGGCACTATTCCAAATTATTTACACATATGAATACAATCAAACCTCACAACAACCTGTGTGGTAGCTATTATAATTTCTTTTCATTTTACAGATTAAAAAAGCATGTATCCAAGAGGTTAAGAAGCTTGGGCCAAAGCCATTGATCTAATGACCAATTAGATCATGGTAGATAGTGGTAGAAGCAGATTAAAAGCCAAGCAGTTTGGATCCAGAGGCCAGGCTTTTAACCATTCATCGCTATTACTCTCCCAGATAGATAAGGTCCCCAGCTACCTAGAATCTCATATTCTAGTAAGACACAGTTCAAACTTCAAGCATGTTTACTGAGAATGACTTTGCATGTAGACTCTTAGACTACCAGAGTAGTCTTTACGCCAGAAGGTAGAAGTTGAGCAAAGGGTGGAGGTGAGAAGTGGGGATAATAGTGGTTTACAATAGTGGGATTTTAGACTCACTATTTGGTGACTATAAAGAGTTGGAACATTTACACAGATTTTAGTCATGGAACAGGTGGTATGATCCTGGCAACAGAACACAGTGGTTAAGAGCATATGCATTTGAGTCATGCAGACCAGGATCTGAGTCCTGGTCCTGGCTTTGACTGGCTGTGTGACTTTGGACAAGTTACTTAACCTTATTAGCCTTAGTTTTTGACATCTATAAAATAGGTATGATCATAACTGTTGCCTCAAAGGGTTATTTATTTAAATGTATTGACCTATGTAAAATGGTAGGAACATTAAAATGCTTATTAATGTTAGCTATTATTTCTATTACTATTACTATTGTCATCATACATCTCTCTTCTCAGGAAACAGGAACTCTTGGTTGAAATTTTTGCTGAGCATTTTCCTGTAAACATCTGTGAACTGATGAGTTTAATTAGGGGACTGTTGATGAGGCCTCTGTGCGGTCTTTTTAAAAATTCAGAATAGTACAGGATCTGGACCAAAAAGTGCTCTTTTGTGCTGAAGTCTTCAAAATGTTTTTCATGAAAGTGGGTTTATTTGGGTTAATTATGTGTGTGCATTATCCTATGAACTCTCAAGATAAAGGGCCTACAGCTGGAGCTGATTGTACTCAGAGAAGGGACATTATACTGATTGGCTAGTTGCTCCTGTCATTGTTTTTTATTGTCTTTTTTCTTTTTTTCTTTTGCATCAAGTATCTGCTTATAATGGTGAACACTGAACAACTGGCCTGATTTCAGAAAAAAAAAATATGTGCATTTGAATGCAGTGTTTCTGTGGGTACACTAGACAGAAAGGGACATGTGTACAGCCTGGCTGTATGTATGCAACAGGACAAGGACTGAGACCAAGCAGAGAGGCTGGAGGTGAGAGGACTCACTTCCTCTAAAAGAAAAGGGAGGACTCAATATGACCACGATGCAGAGAAAAAGGAGGGCAAACTAGCTAAAGAAAGAGGTGACAAAAAACTTGCAAGAGAGCATGGTCAGTGTTGCAGGAATCAAACATAGGTATGTGATGGTACAAAGGTAGGAGGCGTGGGGCAGGAGAGGGGTCACAAAGAGGAATGGGCAATGTACAGACGGTGAGATGCTGACTTTTCCATATTTATTCAGGAATACCAGCATGGTGTTCCTAGGAGGAAGTAGGAGGTGGATCCACACATTATCATAAACAAAGTACAAGGAAATGTCGGAACTCTAGAAACACTGTAAAAAAAAAAATCACAAACTCCAAAGTTCACTTTTGAAAAAGGGGACAAAATTGCTGGTCATTAGATAAGAGAGACATTGCAAGGAGCAATGAGTAATGGATTGAATTGTTGAATCACAATATTGAACATCTGAAACCAATGCTGTATGTTAACTATACTGGAATTAAAATAAAAACAACTTAATAAAATTAAAAAGATAAAAACTAAATTTAAAAAGGAGACTAATCTAATGTGCTAATGTCAACAATATGAAAATAAATATGCATAAAGACTAAAATCTCTGTAGTACATTGCAATTCACTGTTATAATAAAATTTATTTTTAAAATAGTACTATGAATAAATAGGAAACAATAATAGCTATCTTTGGAAAATATTTTCTTATTTTTTCATCTTTTCAGTAAGATCATGCATTAGTTTTGGTTCGAATCAAATTAACTCTATACTTTATTTATTTATTTATTTATTTATTTATTTATGTTTTTATTTTATTTTTGAGAAATAGACAGAGTGTGAGTAGGGGAGGGGCAGAGAGAGAGAAGGCTCCAGGCTCCAAGCTGCTGGCACAGAGCCTGATGTGGGGCTCAAACTCATTAACCGTGAGATCATGCCCTGAGCTGAAGTCGAACTCTTAACCTACTGAGCCACCCAGGTGCCCAAAATTAACTCTATATTTTCAGTGAACAACAAAAAAAGCTTCAAATAAGAACAGAAACAAAGTACACTGGTTTCATTATGAAGCACACATAACAAGATCTCATGAGTGTTAAAACAAATTGGAATAGAAAAGAAGGAAGTTGGTTTCTCATGCCCAGTGAATTGAAATGAATTTAAGAATAGCCATATTTTAAACCTAGAGGTTTCTAGAAATGAAGGTAATTTGGCATAATGAGAGTGAATTTTAAATGTAGCATAACATCTAGTTTTAATCCCTAGATGCATGAATTTTGGTCAGTTAACATATTTATTGAGCCTTCATTTTCTTATATGCAAAATGGGGATAATACTAATTCATTTGTTGATTTACTTGCATTTTGGAGAAAGAAGGGATACTATGATTGGGAAAATACACTGTGTAAGATAAAGCAGTATACAATCATCAAACATCACAATCATACACAGTGCTTTTGCTAACCCTGCTGCTGAAAATAGTTTCTTCGTGTTCAGGGCTCCTTGTGTGAAAATCATCACCCCCTACCTTCTACAACACTTACTTTTGCAATGCCTCTTCCCTGCTTAAGACTAATCTTCTCAAGGGCAATGATTAGCTTGTTCTTCTTCTTATTATTATTTGTTACACAATGTGACAGCAGTTTCAGGTGTACAACATAGTGATTCAACAGGTTTCTACACTATGCTTTGCTCACCACAAGTGTAGCTACCATCTGTCACCATGCAACACACTTACTGCAACACAATTACAGTATCATTGACTATATTCTCTATGGTATACCTTTTATTCCCCTAACTTATTCACTCCATAATGGAAGCCTGTATCTCCCACTCTCCTGCACAGATTTTGCTTATCCCCCATCTCTCTAATTAGAGTGTTTTTGTCTTTGTA